TGTAGCACCGTCGTCTTCTCCACCGACAGGTCAGACCTGGGCGGGGTGGGGGGGTGCAACAACGTCATTAATCCGTGTCCGCTCGGCCCTTCCCATTGCCGCAATCCCACTCTATTTCCCAACCCAGACCACCCACTATTCCCTATCCATGTCCTTATCCAAATCTCATTTAAACGTTGTAACTGTACCCACACCCACCACTTCCTCTGGAAGCTCATTCCACACACGCACCACTCCCCGCGTAAATACTAAAAATTACCCCTCAGGTTCCCTTTTAAATCTTTCCCCCTCTCACCTTAAACCTATGCCCCTCTAGTTGGGGACTCCCCTACCCTGGGGGAAAAGACCTTGGCTATTTACACTATCCATGCCCCTCATGATTTTATAAGGTCACCCCTCAGCCTCCGACGCTCCAGGGAAAACAGCCCCAGCCTCTCCTGATAACTCAAACCCTCCATTCCCGGCAACGTCCCGGTAAATCTCTCCCGAGCCCTCTCCAGTTTAATCATATCCTTCCTATAACGGGGCGACCAGAACTGGACACAGTTCTCCAAGAGAGGCCTCACCAATGCCCCTGTACAACCTCAACGTGATGTCCCCAACTCCGATACTCAAAGGGTCTGAGCGATGAAGGGAAGTGTGTTAAACACCTCCTTACCCGCCCTGTCTACCTGTGACACAAACTTCAAACAGTTATCTACCTGCACCCCCAGGTCCCTCTGTCCTACAGCACGGCCCAGGGCCCTGCCATTAACTGTATAAGTCTTGTCTTTGTGAGGCACACAGGCTTGTCACAGGCCAACCCCCTCCCGGTATGACAAACAACCCTCCACCACCTCTGTCTGTCTCCCACCGTCTGGGGCAATTTTTATCTCCCCTGGGCAAAAGCTTCCCTCTGAATCCCACGGGATCTCACTTTACTCACCAGCCCTGCTGCGCGGAGGGAGGGAAGGAGTCACAGGGACAGAGAGAAATAGGCAAGGTTACAGGGAGATCCTGAGTGCTGGCTATCCCCGAGTGGGTCCCGGTCTCTCCCGCGTGCAGGTCAATCCCATCTTTCAGAATTCCCAACTGGAATAACTTACCCAGCACTGGCCTCAGCGTACAGGCCTTTGGTACCCAGGCTCCTGCTTACAGCACAACATTGGGCACTTTCTGGGGAGCTCACCCATCGCTGTGCATCAAACACACGTAGAACGGTACAGCACAGTACAGTACAGGCCCTTCGGCCCACGATGCCGTGCCGACCCATTATCCTACACAGATCAACCATGCCCTACATTTCACTATCCACTGTGTCCCTATCCAACAGTTGCTTAAAAGTCTCTAAAGTATTTGATATGGAACAAAATCCCCCAGTGAGGGGAGCCACCCTACTCCCTCAGCTGGAGAGCCTGTTGGGGGGTAATTTCTCAGATCACCACCCCCCATCCTCGGAGAGGTGCGGCGGATATGCTGGTGTGGAGGAGAACCCTCCCCCCGATTGATAAGGCTGTCACAGCCTCACACACACACAGAGACCGAACTCTCACCGAAACAGCTGTTCTTCAGTTGCAGAGTCACGGTTCCAGCCTTCCCCGCGAACTGGGGGGTGGGGGGCAACACAGAGAGATTAGAGAGCGCCGCACTGTCCAAGGGTCAGCGCCGCACTGTCCGAGGGTCAGCGCCGAGGGAGCGCCGCACTGTC